CAGCTGTCCTGGCTGTGCCCCCTCCCAGCTTCTTGTGCCCCTCCAGCCTTCTCAGTCGGCAGAGCATGGGAAGCTGAAAAGTCCTTGACTAGTGTAAGCACTACTTGGCAACAACTAAAACATCGGTGTGTTATCAATGTTATATTCTCATCCTAAATCCAAAACACAGCACTGTACCAGCTACTAGGAAGAAAATTAACTCTATCCCAGCTGAAACCAGGACAGGCTGGCTTTCCATAAGCTGTGGTGACTTTGTTGTCTTTTTTAATTATTTCTCCATTTGTTTTAGTGCCTAAAGGAAATCTAGGATATGTGAAATACAGGCACTGGAGCCTGAAGTTTCTCCTCAGCTCTGGATTTTCAAATTTATGAACATTTTGCTCACTAAGCATTTCTGCAGCATACCTCTAATTCTGGAGTTTTTTCATGATTAAGATTGAGATACAACATTGGCATTGGAAAAATGCCTCAGATTAGTCTATGAATGATGAGAGGAACCCCGATATACCTATAAGCCTGGTTACTCTATTTCCAGTAAGTGGTGGTATATGGAGGCACTGAGTGGCCTGACTTGACTCTGGTGGGCTTGGTGCCAGAGCAGTCAGGTGTGCTGCTGCAGCAGGTTGAAGGCCCAGCCTCCTGCTGCTTTCCTCTTGAGCTGCCCCTGGCACCTGACCTGGCTAGAAATGAATCTCTTTTCTCAGGTGTGTTCCCTTCACCACTTGTACCTGACACCCTCCCACCTTGTTGCTGCATATTTCCTCTTTTCTCATGTGTTCCCTTCACCACTTGTACCTGACACCCTCCCACCTTGTTGCTGCATATTTCCTTTTTCTGTTAGGTTTTTGAAGGAGTTGACAGGTAGAGTGCAGTGCTGCCCCTGGCACCTGACCTGGCTAGAAATGAATCTCTTCTCAGGTGTGTTCCCTTCACCACTTGTACCTGACACCCTCCCACCTTGTTGCTGCATATTTCCTTTTCCTGTTAGGTTTTTGAAGAATTGGAGTTGACAGGTAGAGTGCCCATGTGTGAGAATTTCAGACTTGCACAACACAATTACTTAATATATTGAAATGATTAATTTAAACAGTTCTGAACTGAAACAATATGCCAGTCATTCAGGTTGCTGTTTACTATTAGCATAGTCTGCATTTTGGCTCCTAATGTACACTTAACTCTTTAATGTATTCTTACTGAAGCTGTTCACTTAAATTAAAACTTTTTTCTTCACCTTTCTCTATTGAAAGTGTAGCTACCAAGGGGAAAAATATATCAGAGATGCAGAATCATATATAAGTGCTTTGTGTCCTATTGTTTTGGTTATGTTACATTCTTACTTGTTAGAGGAAATGATTCAAAATCAGGGTAAAATTTACAGTCAGAAATGGGCTGAATATTTTTAAATGAGAGCTAATCTGTTCCCACAGCTTACTAAGATTTTGTCAATCCTCTGGTATGAGGAGGTCTTCAACCAGAATATTTTTGAGATAGTCTGGCTCAATAGCAGATTACTGAGCTCAGTGTTGGAGTATCTGGGTGAAACTAGCCAGTGTCATGCATGAGGCCAGATTGGATGCTTACAGTAACTCTGGACTTTGAGCTGCGCTCATGTTCACAGATCACTGTCAAATAATGGCTGCTTTGCTGCTAAAATTTCAGAGGAATGTCTGCAACTGCTGCAAATCATCTCTTCAAGTATGCTGGGATTCCAAAACTGTCTGGCTTAACTGGGCATTAACTCTCTTGAAAAATATGTGTATCTCAAATCTCATACAGAGTGTTTTTGTTTCTGTTCTCTAGAGTTGAAACTCTGGGTCTTTTCATTCTTTCTGGCAAATAGTTATCCAGTACTTAAAACAGTATTTCATGCTTGGTAACCAGAGTTTTTCCTTTGTTCCTGAATAGCAAAAAAAAAAAATTAATGACTATTTGAATTAACCTTTTGATGTAGATTCAAATGTGTTCCTACTGTTCTAATCACCATTTTCCTTTTCACATACCAATGCTTGATAGAGCATATCTGAGCTTGGAGTGAGGTGGTGGCAAGTGGATTTGGGTGAGAGATCCTGAGATTGCTGAAACTTCCTGATGCCTTCAAGCAACCACTGATGCCTCAAATGTTTTAAAAAGGAGTTTCCAACTTTGGAGAATTAATTAGCCCTCCAAGGCAAATCTTGTGTGGTATAACCAAAAGGAGACCTGATGAAAGAGCGTGTTATTGTTGTTGTTTTAATTTCCTAAAGTTAATCGCATAATAGGAAGAACTCAGTCAGGCTTGTGCCTGACTGCTTAGCAAAGAAATCTGCTGCTGAATGATGAGCAGCTTTTGAGGGATTAGTATGTTCATGGAGCAGAGAAGTATCAGTGATGATTTGTCCTGCAGACTCTGCCAAGACGCACCTAGCAGAAATCCTTGAAGCTGTTGAAAGCAGATAGGCTAAATGTGGTATGAGCACTTCAGTTCTTCCAGAGTCTGTTCTCCATCTTACTACTTCTGTATCTTGCAGGAGCTGCAGAAGTTGAAGTGATCTGGGGGTTAGTTGCATACTAGTTCAATTTTGGTTTCATGCTAACTTGCTGGCCTGGAAGGGTATGGTATGTGTTATTAAACTGAGTTCTTGTTTAACATCGTTGTGGTGGTGACATAAGAAAAAAGTAAGGGAAGGAAATGAGCATGGGTTTTGTAAAAGATGAGGGAGATAGTAAAGGAGTGGGGCAAGGAAGCAAATGCCAAGCAAGAAGAGGGGACCACATGTCTGAAGTGACAAAAATTCTTTGTGAATGTACTGGCTTTGGAGCAGCTGCTCCTATCCTCCCCAAAAAAGTGCTGATGCATGCCAGAAGCTGCAAGTTTGAAGTGAGCAGTGCAAAGTTCCCTTCCCAATGCAACGCTGCAGAGACTGGAACCAGTTTAAGAACTGTGGCTCTAATTATGGCCCCATTTCTCTTATGCTTTTGATGTCCCAAAAACATGTTGGCTTGATTCTTGGCCCATTTATTACTACTGTAACCATGGTTACTGGGCAGATAAACTGTGTACTCTGAGCCTTAATTATTGCCTGTGCCATGGTGGTACCTGACTGCTGGATGGGAAGTATAAAAAACTTACTGGTACAAATGATGCAGATTTTGACAGGAGGGTAGGGAAGGAAAAAAGCTTCATAGTGGTAGTGGACTCTGTGGTGTTCCATCAATGAGGGTAAAAATCATCAGTGGTGCTACTGACTGAGAAGGGGACAGTGGTTAAGTCATTCACTGTTGTCCAACAGAACTTATTTTGGTCGTTCTCTTTCCCCATAATTTGCAACATGGGGGTTAATGAGTGAGGTGTAGAAGGTGAAAAGTAAATATTTATCTCAGAACATGCATTTAAGATCAGATAGTATGAGCAGTAAGAAGCAGGGCCTTTCCACTCTTATTAAATAACCTTGGCAAGATATTGGGGAACTGGCTTGCTCTTGGCTCTGTGCTGTAATAACCTTGGCAAGATAGGGAACTGGCTTGCTCTTGGCTCTGTGCTGAGGAAAATTGAAGTAAATACTTTATCTGTTGTTTCAGTCTGTCTGGTTAAAACATACAGGGATAATTGAGCCCAGGCTTTACAGATGGGCAAACATAGGTTTCAAGTAATCAGGTTTTCAGCTTGTTCTACTGTGGAGTTGCGTAGAGATGATAGATGAGCTGAACTTTGTGATTGGTATGGTTTTTTTGTTCGTTTGTTTGAAGCTTGTGCAAATCAGTAACATCCTGGAAGCTATTGCTGATTATGTCTTCAGGCTACACTTACTAGTTTCCAAGGTATGTGTTTCGGGGCAGGAAGTAAACCAAAATAATTACCTTGGGAATAACTCTTTAAGAAGTTGGGGCAGGGGGAACAACATGTCATTGCTGAAGCATTTGGTTATAAACTGTGCCTCCATAATGTGGCTGTGCCAGGTGATTTCTCTGATAGAGACACTCTAAATCCTGGTTATGTTATTGACATATTGCATGACTGTAGTGGCTTAGTTTTGTGTTTGTGAAACAAAAATGATGATACTTGCCTCACTGGGACAGCCTGTAGATTAATATTTTGTTAGGTCTCCTCACTGATACTTACTAGTATGACAGTCTTTCCAGTTTTGTTCCTGTTCTGGTAGGTGCAGCTTTACAAGTATCCTCGGCTAACTTGTCTTGTCAGTTCCAAAATCAACTGACAAAACTTGCAACTTGTTTTTGAGACACTTGTTTGAATGGATCATCTAAAATAGTTGTAATGAAGATTATTTAAAAAAAACCCACAAACCTAATGTGTACAGCAAACCCGAGGCTTCTGAAATCAACATATTCTGACTGAAGAAATACCTTCATGGAGAAATCATCAGCTTGCTTTTGAAGATAATTACCAGAGTAACTTTAGTTATTTCCAAGTGAATTTTTGTGTGCTCTTCTGAGTGAGAGGCCTTTTCCATAGCATTGTGAAGATTTCAGTTGGCCAGCTCTGTCCTGGATGTTAGAAAAAGGATGTTTCTGTAGGGCAAAGTGGATAGGATAGTTTGCCCTGTCTAGTTTTTAATGCCTTTGAAAAAATGTTGAGCTGTAGGACAGGGAAACTACTAAGTTTCTTGTCAGTGCTGTGGCTTCTTTCTGGGATTGTTGTTTGTGTATTTAAGTGATTTAAAAAGTAATTACATGAGTAAGGACTTGCCTGGATTGTGATACAGTAGGTGACCAATAGTAGCCATAATAAAAGTACTCTTATTACATCTATTGTAGATAAACACTTTTGGTCGGGGTAAAAACTGATTTAAAAGAAAAATGTATGGATCCCCATGCACTGAGGAATATCTCTGGGGATGGAGGGGGGGGAGGGGAGAAGGTATATGAAAGCTGTTGTTCAGATGGAACTCAGAGGAAAAAGTATTCCAGGCTGCCAGCAAAAACTGTTCAGTCTAAAAAAAAAAAAGCAGAACTGACTTGAGTGGAAAATCCTTACTGATTATTTTTTCTCTTTTAATCTCGCAGCTGATTGCAATGCCGTTCTTAAAGCTCTACAGCCCATTTTTCAGGAGCAGGGAATGACAGAAACAGTTCATAACTGGGAAGACCATGGTTATTTAGCAACCTACATTAAAAAAAATGGCAGGTGAGTGAATTTTCTTTTCCTTCCTATAGATAATGTCCCCTCTGTCTGCCCTTACAGGTTATTTTTCTCCCTGTATTGGATCTCCTTCTGGGGTGCCGGCAGGGCAAACTATTCTTTTACCAGCCTTGTGTATGAAGCGACTAAAATAAAGCAGAATACTGTTGATAATCTTGTCTCTTATCTTGCAGTTTGGATATCGGAACAGTTGAATTGGTCAGTCTGGGCTGTATTGATGCAGTAACATTGTATGGTGTCTTGGTCTTAGGGTCAGTCCTTCCAGAGGCAGGACAGCTCAAGTCAGTTAAATGTATTTGTAATTCTTTAGACAATTGAATATGTCTAAATATGTTCAAGTCTAACCTTAGCATGTGAATAATGAAAATTTTCTGTCCCTGTCTTGTTGTTTGTGCTTTTAAACACTTTATGCTTCAAATTCTCAAGCAGCTACTGAAGTAACTAACAGCATGACAAAGGTGGTTGGTGTCATTAGTGACACTCAGATAAGCAGGATCTGCTGGGATAAACTGGTAAGCAAAACCACATTCACTTTATTTCCTGAAGCTGCTTTACAGTGTCAGGGTTAGTTAATTACAGTATACATTTTTCTGGCCTATTTATTAGTAACTACCACAATTTTATTGCACTTCATTTGTTTCCAGTTAACCATTTATTCTTGACATCCATTGTGGCTGTCACTGCTTCTGTTCTTTCTGAAATCTCTACTTATTTCGGTGTTCTTCTGGATTGGAGTTAAGCTAAATAAGCTTTAATTTGTTGGCTGTCTTCTCCCCCTGGGTGTCCTGTTAAGTAGCTCATTTGACCACACTCCTAACATGCCTAAGGATTTTTAAGTTCTCTCTGTAATGAGAGATAGAGAACTGATATCTCTAGAAGGAAAATCAGATCCTAGGCGAGCGTGTTGCCTGCTGGAATTTGTCTCTGTATGTTTACTGTGTGTGAACATATTTGTATGTACAGTGCTATGTATTTTATATAAAAAAGTAGTGTAGACCAACTATGCTGGTAAACTTGGGGCCTGACTTAAGGTAACAAGTAAGCTGGCATGAGTCTAGTCCTATGTTTATATCTTTCCCAATCATGCTCAATGAAGTTCTTAGTATATTTCAGTTAACTTTTCAAATGTGACACTAGCTTTTTCTGATCAAAATTATTTTTTATACTTAATGTGCCTAGAAAAACCTGTTACTTGTCCCTTGGTTTTTGTAGTCTTTCTTATTCTGTCTTTAGTTACATGTGCTCTTATATTCTTCCTGAATAATTTGATCAAGGTTCCGGTTCTGGATAACCTTTTGTTTCTGAGGTCAGTGAAAAGATAGCCAAGTTGGTAATTTACTACTCTGGTGCTATCCTTCCTCTGTATTGGGTTAAGCTTGTATGTAATTCTCCTAAAAAGATAATATCAAGGATACACACTCTGAACAATTAAAAGGTAAAATATCTAAAAGCAAAAAGGACTTAGAAGATTTAAAGGTTGGCTTTCTTTGATTACATGACCTCTTTTTGCTTTTCTGTTTCCTTGAGTTTGAAAGTGACACGAGATGTGAATTCTCAAACTGGCTTTCCCCTTTGCAATTTCATCTGATCGTTCCCCTTAAGACAGCCTCTTCTAAAGGAGCAGTTTCCAGAGTTAAATTACCTGTCTTTTGATGTGTTCCAGGAAATTGCTAGAAAACAGTCACCTTTGTATAACTTTTCCAGGAGATAACTGAACTGGTGTTTAGAAGCATCTCTGAGTAAGATCCTTATAAAACTCTAAAGTATCTAATGTGATTTCTCTTACCACGCTGTCAACTGAAAATACGTGTTGCTGCAAATTTCACTGTCTTCCTCAAGTGCTAGAGTATGATACTAATGAATGTTTGAAGGGAGAAAAGACTATGTGAAAGCTGACATGTCAGCTTTTCACTATGCTGCTAAATACAACTTAAGCTTTTTGCACCAGAGGATAGTTCACAGTATTCTTACTGCTGTGAGAAGATGAAGATGGGGAGGTGGGCCTAGTGGCCTTTCTGCAGGGAAAGAAGGGAGGGTCTGTTATGTTGGGTCTTGGTTCTAGATACCTCTTGTCACTGTTTACTGTGCTAAGTAAAAGAGCTGGGGAGCAAGGGCAATCACTCAGACATCTATACTGCTGCAGGCTGCCAGCTTGCTTCCTAGATTTCTTCTTTAGGGTGACACCACCAGTTTGTCAGCTAACAGGGTCTTTGGTTGGCTTGTTCCAGAGTCCTCTCCCAAAAGGCAGTGTCAGTGAGGCTGCACAGTTTGGGCTGCTTCTGCTCTCACACAGTTGTATCAAGTAGCCTTATTTTTCTCACATACAACCCTCATGCCATGCTCTAGGACATGCAATGCATACGGTCAGCCTGATGTAAAATACTTCCCTGGTGACAGCAGCGGAGCCCTCATGTCACTTCAGATGCTTTGATATGGCAGTTGGTGGGCTGAGGGAGAAACCGCACTGTCTTGGGGCCACAGGAATACCATGGGGGCCACAGGGAGAGCTGGGGCTAAGTGGTGTAAGCAGGGATGTGGCCTGCTGGTTCTCAGGGGATGTTCAGCTCCTTGAACCCTCCAGGCTGAATGCAACAAGTTCAGTCAAGTATTGGTTCTCATCTGTTTAATAGTATTATATGCTAGATGTCTCTTAGACTAGCGCTGTTCATCTTCTCAACTCACAGTGAGAAATATGATAGAGAATACTGAGTGTCAGGAAAAGTGTGGACTTAAAGATGCTCTAAAGATTGAGACATCCAAGTAAGACATGAATGGGCTTTCTACTGCTGCAGCACCATTTTTGCCTTTCCTGATTTGCATAGGGTGATTGACTTGCTCCATCACTCTCCATTTGACATGTTGTTTTTTAGCAGTCAGGTGTAGAAGTCTCCTCCCTGTAAACATGCAGGTGCTGTAACTTTGCTTTCCTTGTTCCCCCATGTGTACCATGCTTCACTGTCTGCCTCACTAATCCAACTGTGAATGGGCTCCTCAACAGAAATGTGGTTAACTGTCAAAGATTTAGTTGAGCTTGGTTTTAATATCAAATTACTGTTGTCAGCTTAATGTTAAATTGTGTACAAGTGTTGTCAGTTCAAAATTACATTTGCTAATGAAGATTCTTAATCCATATGAAGTAAGTTCTCAAAGCTCTAATATAATACAGGTTTGGAAATAGTTGAGATTCTAAGAGAAGCTATCCAGGAGAGCATCCTATGTGTAATAAGGAATGGCAGTTTGTGGTACAGCTTCAAAACTGAAGAATGAAGAACAAGAGTGTACGGAAGAGCTGAATATTAAGAGGAGATTATTCATTTTGTAAGCAGCTGTTTTTTTCTGGTGCAGTGTTAAATGTAAATTAATAAAGAACGGTTATTGCTTTCTCTTGGTATATTCATTGCCATCTGAACTTCAGTGCATACTGGATTTATCTTCCCTGGAAATTACTCACTTTAGCTAGACAACTTACTGTCTGTAGCAGTGTCAGGGTACTTTTCTGTGCTTTGCCAGCTCCATTAGACACTGAATTGGGGAACAGTAGGATGTGCAGGAGAACTTTCTGTGAGTCTTGGAACCTCAGCAGTTTTGTTCTGAGTTTTCAGATCACTTAAACTGCATATACTTTTTTTAAGGCAGCCTTAGACAGCATATTTCTGTTAATGTTGGTTGATGTAGTTTCAGTTAACTGAAACAAATAAGGGTGCGAACACTTAAAAACCAATAGACTAGACAGTTTAAAAAAAAAAAACCACCCTGCAAAGCAAACATCTTGTGAGTGGTAAGAACAAACTGGTGAACATACAGAGGACTTGATATTAACTAAATAGGCTTTATTTTAATGCTAGCAATTTTGTCTGCATTTTATTTGAGAGATGTCAAATATCATACTTCTTTTAATTAGCATAAAAATCTTATCTGATACAACTAGGAGGAAATTAGCCAGGGCATGCAGGCCTTTCTTCTTCCTTCCCTGCAAAACAGTGTACTTCTGGAAATGAAGTAGCTTGTAGTAAAAAGCAGAAAAATTGTGATGGAGGGGTAGGTATGTCACGAGCAGCTTCTTGTAAGGACGGCTGGGTGTTACTGGGCACAAAAGCTCCCCAGGATGAAAGATGCATGTGCTGTATGTGAGTAGGGTTTTTGTGAGTATGCACATACAAACACATTTTTAACCAGTCAAAGGTGATTGAGCCATTGCAAGACAAAGATGTGCAGCTGATGTAACAAGCTGGGTACTAATCCCAGGAAAAAATGTTTGAGATGAGATAGTAATACGTTGCTAAAGAGTGTCTTGAACTCCAAAGTCTGCAGAGATAACCCCCGTAGCCTGCAGGGTGCCCCGTGCTACAGATTGTTGAATTGTGGGCACTGCTGTTGACAAAGCTTTGTCTCTGACAAAGACACCGTGTGAACAGCCCCATGGAGGGCTGTGGTTGAATTGGAGCTGATTTGGGGATTAAGCCATGCTTTCCTGTTGTCATTACCAAAGCAACAGATCCCTGTTCTCCTTTGTCTGAAGCTAAGCAAGCAAAAGTCACATGCGGCAACTCTACCTGGTCCATTTACTTTGTGATTTACTCTGACAAAGGACCTAATTGAGGGAAGTTCAGCTGAAAACATCTAGTAATGGGTTGTCAACACAAGGCTCTAGAGCCGGGCAGGAAATGGCTCACTTGAGCCACTCAAGTCCCTGTCTGTAGAGGTGGGGATGGTTATGCTTCTCTGCTTTGCCAGCCCCCTTGCCCAAACGCTGGTTGGGGAGCAGTAGCACATGCAGAAGAGGAGCTCTGGCTCTGAATTTTGGGGCCCCAGCAGTCTTGTTTTCCTGAGATGTGTGTTTTCAGATCACTTCCAGAATGTTTTCAGGGTCACCTTAAGCAGCATGCTTTTACTGAAGTGTCACTTAGTCTAGCTTAGACTGGACAGTTAAAAAGAAATGTTGGGAATGTGAAGTCTTTATCTCATATAATGTATATGGTACTTTG